TGCTAATATTTTTTCCTTTAATTCTGAATCATTTGAAAATATTTCATGTATCTTTTGCTTTATTTTGCAATTATTGGCTTTGTGTCCTATTCTTTCGCATTTCTAGCAAGTAATATTTCTATTGTTTTGAAATCTTTTCTTAAATTTCTTATAATAGGGTTCATTGGAAATCCTAGAAGGTTGTCTTCTCCCTTTTTTAATATAATCAGATTTTTTGTAAGATTTTCCTTTTAATGCAGAAGGTGATCTAATACCTTGAATACCAAAAGTTTCACAAAATGATCCTACTTCTTGTTTTTGTGATCCACACTTTTGTTGCATTTTTAATTCTGTGCATAATGCTAATCCTTCTTTTTTAATAAATCCTAATAATTGTCCCATGGTGACTCCTTCTAATGATAATATATCTGTACCCATTTCTTTTTGTAAATTAGTCATAATTCTTTGAGAAAATAAAGTTGGTAGTCTAGTAATAAATTTTTCTTTCCAAAATGACATATTACAATCAGGTCTTCTTAATACATGTGTTAAAAACATATCTTTGTACCATCTGTAATCTATAAGAGTTGGACATCTTAAATTGGTTAAAAACAATTTATTAGAGTGTAACTCTTCTTTTGGGTTTCCTACAAAATACATTGCAATTGTTACTATCAAGAATTTTGCTGCATCTGATTTAGTAGTGATGTTACCTTGCTCATCTTCAACTTCTATAGTATGATTTAATATTGCAGTTTTGCTTTCTAATGTTAAGGCATTATCCCACCAATTTTTTAATTGGCATGTGAATCCTGATATTAATATTGTTGTAATTGATTTTTCATCTGCATGTCTTACTTTATATGCTAATCTTGTCATTCCCATTTCTTGTAATGTATTTAATATCTCATATTATGTTTTGCCATCTATATTCCATTCATATAATGATTTTCCATCATATTTATTGGTGTGAAATTTTGATCTTTCTTCATATTGAATATCTAGAGGTGTAGGTCTTGTACAATAATTTCTAGTGTCTATCATTTTCCAATTTTTATAGTTTCTTTGGAGTTTTTTTATATTTTTTTCTAGAAATTTTATTTATAGTATTATCAAATTGTCCTTCAACTATATCTATTAACTTATTGTTTTGTTCTTCTTCTTCTATGTCTGAAAATTCTTCTGGAGTGGTTGTTTCTTCAGAATCCGAAATTTCTTTAATTTTTTCTTGTTCTAATGTTTGAATTCTTGATGTACTAGGGTCTGTAATTGTTAAGCTTCTTTGAATTTTTCCTAATATTTGTGCTTGTGCTAACTCTTCTTCTTGTTTATAATGCAAGCTTCTAGGTTGGAAATGTAGTGCTGAAATATCATTAGGAAATTTGTGTGTGGAAATTCCTGGAATAGCTTCTATCCTTTTTTTCTAATTTATTTCCTATTGTTTGAATTTTTGTATCTAAATATTCTACATTTTGGGATACCGAATGTAATAATTGATTTGTATAATTATTTTGATGATATACTTTTTTAATATCTTCATAAACTAATATTGCATTATCTTGTGCTTCTCTGCCTTTTTTAAATGGGGAGGCCATGGTTAAATCATTAATTTTGATTTCTTGTAATGGAGGATGTATTGAAGTAACTATAATATTATCTGCTAATGTCCATTTTTTGTATAGACTAGTTTGAACATTTATAGTAGGGATATTATATGGTGTATTAGTAATTTTATTTTTAATCATATAATATTCTATCCATTTGAAAAAATAAATTTCTAATTGCCTTTCTTCTACTTGTTTATACCATAATTCTTTTAATTTTTTCTGACATATTTGATCTAATATTGAAAACCATTCTCTATATTCATTATTTTCTTCATCACGTATTTCTTCTTCTAATTTATTAAAATCTATTTTTCTTTTTAATTTTATCATATTAATTTCTCCTGCCATTTGTGAATGTGTGGGTGAATGTTCACTCTTGTTTGTCGGTATGATTTCTGAAATAGGACTTTTAAACTTATAATTCATATCTTAATTTTGAACTAGTTGAAAAGTTTCAGGAAAGTCGAACATGGAATTCCTAGGAGGTTGTGTATATGAATAAGATTTGTAAGAACTAGAGGGTCTTTCCCTAAATGAAGGAAATTGTAATGTTACCGTTTCATCTACTTCTTCAATAATTTGTTCTACTTCAGTTTGTTCTATATTTCTAGGTATTTGTGGATTAGTTATTTGAAATTCTTGTGGAATAATTATTTCATTCCATTTTAATTTTTTAGGAGTAAATACATTAGATTTTTCGGCTTGTAATTCTAATAAAACTGTTTCATCTTTTGAACTAGGGACCATTATACATTTTGGTGAAATTTGAGAGGATAATAGTTTAAAATATACTTTATATATTATAGCAAAATTTTTACAATTTTTATGAAATTCGTTTCCTTGTAAGTGAATGTCTAAGACTAATGAATCCATTATTAATGGGTCTGTCATGTCTAATGAATAGTTAGGTGCACAATTAAAATAAATTGTTTTAATTAAAGTTACTATTTATGCTATATTTTGACTATTTTCTATGCTGTATTGGTAAGCCATTGAGACTTAGTGAGACCGTTGGTAAGCCTAGAGAGTTGGTGTTCCCGGCATAAGACTCTGGTGTTCCCATAGGATAGATGAATAGAAGAGATTAGCAAAAATGGCAGCTAAATTAAAACGATGGATGACTAGATCTGATTCAAAGAATTCAGACTTGGTATTAAGTAATGAAATTAAGATGGAAATAGATAGTTCAAATTGAACTATACCTGAACAGAAAATTGAAGAAATTTACAAAGTAGGATTATTTGATTTCAAGGAAACTCGATCTGTAAACGAACAATTTCAAACTATACATTTATTGAATGACCAATCATTACAAAAATATATTAATAATGGATATAGATATATTCACATAGGTTTGGTACAAGTAGCTGTAAAACCTTTAGTTCATATGGAGGTTGATGCCCCAATCTTCATGGCATTAAGAGATAAAAGACTTAAAAGATATAAAAGTTCTTTATTAGCATTAATTCAAACCAACACATGTAATGGTCCTATTAATTTTAATTGTGCACCTAACTATTCATTAGACATGACAGACCCATTAATAATGGATTCATTAGTCTTAGATATTCACTTACAAGGAAACGAATTTCATAAAAATTGTAAAAATTTTGCTATAATATATAAAGTATATTTTAAACTATTATCCTCTCAAACGAGAGACATCGATCAATTTATGTGATCTGAGCCTTCTTATTGTAAACATTCTCCTAGTTTCCAATAAAATTAAAAGCTTTCATTCCTATTCGCTTCCACGCCCCACACTCATCTAAATTCAAGAACATTCAAGAACTTTAATTACAAGTTTAAAACTCTCTTCATTTTGGTTCAACAAGTCTGTTTTAATTATTTATTTCCTTTTTAAAATAATGCCTTCTTGCCTGGGCTGGTTCTGATTCGGTATCCCAAAATGTAGAATATTTAGATACCAAAATTCAAGCAATAGGAAATAAATTAGAAAAAAGGATAGAAATAATCATATCTCAAGACATCACTTTAATTAACAAATAATCATAAAAGATGAAAATAAATATGAAATTGAATCAATTAAATAATGTAAACAATTTACATTTAAGAAATTAAAACAAGTAAGACTAAATTGCAAAAATTAAAAAAAATTTAGGGGTCAAAGTATAATTATCACAAAAATCCAGGGTCACAATTAAAGAAAAATAAAGTTAAGGGACCTATTTGCAATTCAAATAAGGACCCAATTAAAAGATAGCTAAAGTTTTTAGGGCTATAGTAAAAATACTCGAAAGTACAGGGACCCATGCGTAATATTCGTTTTCTGATTTCTTAAGAACATCAGGTCATTGGGCCATTTTTATTTGTTTGGACCCAAAACTTCTCAAACCCAACCGAAAGTCCAAGGCAAAAGGAGCAAGCCGGTCACCCAAAATTTAGCCAACAAAACTAATGGGCCTTGACCCTCTAGCCCAAGCCAAAAAACCCAATAAAAAAAGTAAACCAAATCCATATTTACAAACCCAACCAAATAACCTCTTAACCCAAATCACCTATTTCACTAAAACTCAACATGATAAAATTATTAAGCCATAATTATGACCTAAAATCAAGAATTAATCTACCCAAAAGACTACTTAAAAATATTAAAAGATGATTAAAATCTGAAAGGGCGAAATAAGTTCAAATTTTCCAATTTTTTGGGCCATATCAGAATAGGGGAAACTTGAGGGGTTTAAATGCAATGAAATTGGGGACCTAATTGAAAGAATTATGAAAGGTTTGGGGTCAAATTATAAAGGCTTAAAACTTTGGGGAATAAATTAAAAAGGTCAAACAATTAAGGACTAAAATCGCGATTTCTGGAATTGGGTCGTCTTCTCCAAACGGCTGAACATCAGCTGCTGTTTTCATCTTGCTTTGCGGACGAATGAACACCAAAAATTCAACTCTGACCACTCCCCAAAAAAAATGAAACTCACACAAATTCCCTCTCATACAATTTCAGGACATTAATTCGAGTTCATACAAAAGGAAGATTAAAACAGAAAAATGCAAAAATGAGCACGTCAGAACCTTCCAAAACTCTATTTTCTTCCATGAAAATCATGACAAACATTGAATCTTGCTGTCCACTTGTTTTCTTCATACGCAATATGCGGATGATTCATCTTTCAAGTAGAATTTTCACTCAGGCATTTCGTCGAACACCAGATGGGCATAAAAAATTTCACCAATTCTTTGTTCAATTGATGTTATGATCAGCCCCAAAATTTGTCAGAAACATAAGGAAATTCAGTCCAAACAACACAGAAAGCATGTATGTTTCACAATCGTGTATAATCAGCAAACATTGCAATGAACAAATTCAGAAAAAACATGCTTTTGAGAGCTTCCAACGTTTGTGTTTGAAAAGAAGCTGAAATTTAAAGGCAAAGGACAACTTACACTACTCTCTCTCGGTGAAGTTCCGGAGCCGACAGCAAACTGCAATTCCTCCGCCCAGCTTTTCTTCTTTTTCCTTTCCTTCTTGCCCAAAATTCCTCGTTTCCTCTGTTTTCCTTTTTCCTTCGTCTACCTCTCTTGCTCTCTCTCTCGTTTGATTCCCTCCCCCCAGCCCGAAGCTCTCTCAATTTCCAGGTTCCCCCCTTTTCTTTTGCTCTCCTCTTACCCGCCGTCCGCCGCACCTTTTTCTTTCCTCTCCTTGCTCTGTTTTTCCCCTCAGCCCCAGACCTCTTCTCTTTTTTTTTTTTCCCCTCCTTTTTCCTTTTTTTCAAGACCTCTTTTGTCCGTCCACAGCTTTTTTCGTTTTTCTTTTTGCTCTTTTTCTTTTTTTTTTCCTCCCAATTTTCCCTCAACCAACAAGTGTCATCCTACTCATCAAATAATAGGAGGGATATTTGTCTAAATCTTATCCATCATACCTATCCCCTTGCATGGCCTCAACTTGACTATTATCCCACTAATACACTTGTCTAATAATCTCCTACTACACTTGTCTAATGATCCCCTATTACACTTATTTTCACATTTTATTTATTATATATTTTCCAAAATCCATTTAGGTAACAACAAAAAATGTTAACTTTTAATTGTAAATGCATTGCACAATTTTTATTTATCTTAAAAAAATGAATCTAAAAGGTTTAAAGACAAATTTTGAATTTTTGTGAGAATTTTTCATTTTTTAGAAATTTAATGCAAAGATACCGTAAAAATGAAAATGATAAATCTAATTTATAAAAATAAACAAAATGAACATTAACTATCATTTAATCAATTAAAATAAAATAAAATAAAACAAGAATAAAGCTAAAATTGAATAAAATAAATGAAGTTTTGATATCTACATGGTTGAGCTTTGATATGCATGTTTACAACTTCACCAAGTGATTTTCTTACTTGAATTTGGAAATTTCAGCTTTGATGTCTTTCGGTTAATCTCTATTTGTGTGAACTTTGAAGGGCTTTGATAGACTAGAATAAGGCTTGTAATATCTAATGACTTGTGACTTTGATTGTGTTGGGATTGCTGTGGTTTACACCTTAATTTTTCAACGGGAAACGCACCAAAAATAGGTGAGGTGCTGCCGAAACTTTTGTATCTAGGGTTAAGTTAACAAGAGGTAGCGGAGTGATGTAATCTTGAGTGGATTTGAGTTGGGAGTTGAAACTTGGAAGAAAACTAGACAATTGGGTGAATTTCAGTTCTGCCCTGTTTTTGGAATCAACTTGGGCTGCGAATTTCTCCATGTTTTAGACTGAATCAGCTTTTGAACAAAAACATAAAAATTATAGGGATTTGAGTTAATTTTCTACCTGCAAAATTTCAGATCAATTGGATCATTTTAACTTATGATTTGGCTAAAGAACTCCTGACTGCACAAAAACTCTAATTTTTGTGACCTATTTTTTATGTGCTTCTGACCATCCATTTTTTACCCTGAAAATGCAAGAATTGGATGATGATGTTTTCATAGGAAATGTAGGTCTATGTCTTATCTTCGAATTTCCATAAAATTTGCCTCAATCCGATAAGTGTATCTTCAGTTGTAATCAAAACACCAAAGGATGGCAAAGCTGCCATCTTCATTGTTTCTCGTTGCCTTTCTCTTATTTTCTGTTTCTTTGATCCGACTTAACATGTACTTCTCAAGTATTCTAAACCTGATTTCTAACATTCTAAACAAGTATTCAAAACATGGTTTTTAGTTGCATATATTGGGTTTGAATTTAACCGTTTTTCATCTTTTTTTTTTTACAAATTATGCGTGCACCTTGCCTATATGACTTATTATACTTTTCATGCTTTTATCATTTGATATAGACATATAAGTTATGCAGCTTGCACTCGTGTATGATTGGCTCTTTGTGGATAATATTTGACTCCAGATTTCGAGAGTGACCAAGGTACCGGTTTTGAACTGAATTTTGATAAAACATGACTTATTTAGAGTGAGTGTTTCTTGCATGTTTGTGTATTAAATGATTGTGTACTTGTTGTGAATATTCGATTGAGTGTTAAATACTTTCCAATGAATGCTAAATGGATTTTCAATGGATGAGTGTGTACTTTATCGCACTTAACCCAATCAAAAGTAAATTTTCAATGATTGAATGCTACTTGTGCATGAATGTAAGTCTTTTGGCTGAACTGGACCCTTGTCCTTTGTTGCCAGCCGACTCGAGCCAAAAATAGACTCGATCGGACGATTGATGACCCTGGGACAATATTTGGTATACTCGAATATGACCACGAATGCTAGTGGAGAACTGGCTTGTGAATTGGCTAGTGGCGGGAAATGAAATCAATGAATGAATGTCAAGAACACTAAAGGAATTTTCACTTGCAAATGTTTTTTAATATTTGAGGGATAAGAAAAATGGTTGACGAATGAATGAACGAATAGTTTCACGTGAGCATGTATCCTTTTAATGAGTGTGTTCTCATTGTTTTGATATTGTGAATGTTTTCTCGATTGATTGTTACTAAATGACTTGTATTCTTGTTTCAATTGCTTGATTATGTGTATGGAAATCTCACTAAATTTTTGCTCATCCCTCTATTCCGTTACATTTGTTTTACTTACAGGGTTTGAGAGTAAGGACGAGTGATTAGAGGAAGACTAAACTTTTGACTAGAAATTTTGTTGTGTAATAGTGATAGTATTATTAGTTGGTTGGATCCTGAACTTTTGTACTAATCTTTAAGATTGTATATCTGTGTTAATGATTATATATATGTTAAGTTTGATTAGCACATCTTTACTTGCTCTTGAAGCGATAAGTGAGTGAGCTCCGACGAGAGTTGGGCAGGCGGTCTGCTGAACCCTGGGGCACGCCCTAGAGGTAGGTGGGGTTTTCACAGTTGGTATCAGAGTTTATGTTTCAGATTTCTGTAGTGTATTCTAGACTTAAAGTTTAGAATGCCGAACTGTGGGATATTGTGAAGTTTAAGTACAATATTAAGTATCTATGTTCCTGATGCATAGTAAGATTTGATATTTGAGGATTTCTATATTGGGTTGGCAAGAAGAGAATTGCGCGAGATTGATTTGAAAAGTAATGGGTCAGTTTCTTAAACAACGATACTAGTTGATACCTATGGGACTGACTTTGACTTTGACTTTGCATTTGTAAGGAACTAGATATAATTCTTGGAGCGATTACTTAAGTAGGGATCTTTTGAACTTTCTTTGACGGATGAACTTGGGATTTAGAATCTACCCTTGGAAAAATTGGAAAACCGTTGTTTGTTGTGTTGTTTTGCATGTACGCATGTGTTTGCCGTGTTGTGGACTGATATGTATGGTGTACTAGACATGTTTTGTGAATTTGGTTTTGTTAGGATGATATGTACAATATTTTTGTGATTTAACTTGTGAATTTGTTGTGTTATATTTTCTAAGGGTGTTTTCTTATTTTTGACATATGTTGTTTTCTTCTTATTCAATATATATAGCCGATCTATTTTTGCTCATACACGTATATAGTTTATTTAGAAAAAAAAAGGTATGGAGGGACGAAAAGTCGAGGATGAGGGGTTAATCATGGACGTGGGGTCAGGCAATTTCAAGAACCAAAAGAAAAAAGAGAAGCGACAGTTAAACAATAATATGAATCACAGGCCGAAATAGGGGATCAGATAGTAACGGCCATACAACAAATGACCGATATTTTGGCGCGTTTAGTAGAACAACAAGGGCAAGCACCTGTTAACCAATTCAGGGAACCTAATGGAGGATAGGATAGGGCCCTAGAGCATTTTCAGAAATTTTCTCCTCCTAAGTTTTTTGGAGGATCTAATTCGGAGGTAGCTGAGAGTTGGTTAGAACAAATAATTAATATTTTTGCTGCGCTAAATTGTCTAGAGGAGAGACAGGTGACTTTTACGGTATTTCAATTTGAAGGGCCAGCTCATACTTGGTGGAACGTGATTAGAATTAAGTTGGAGAGGGAAAAAATAGCGCGAACTTGGGTAAATTTCATACGGAAATTAAATGAGAAATACCTTCCGCCCTTAGTCCAACAGAAAAGGGAAGACGATTTTATTATATTACGTCAGGAAGTCTTGAGTGTGTCAGAATACAAAACCCAATTTACTAACTTATCTAAATTTACCCTTGAATTAGTAACAACGGAGCAAAGAAGAGAAAGGTGGTTTGTACAGGAATTAAATGTGAAAATCCAGGAAGTTCTTGCACCGGCTCAAATCACTACATTCACATAAGTTCTTGAGAAAGTCCAAATGGTTAAAATTGCAAGGGGACAAGTAAAAGCATTCCAAGCACGAAAAAGAAATGTGCCGAGTAGTGAGTCTGAGGAATTTAAGGACACCGTACCACCTTCCAAAGCTAGGAGAGTAAACCTTCCATCTTACCCACCATGGATGCAAGGACAATATGAGAGAAGTTCGACAAGAGAAAGTCAAGTAGGAAGAGGACGACAAAAGGAAGTCTCTCTAAAGAATTCAATAGAAACTCCTCGGTTAGCTTGTGATTACTGTGGGAAAACAAATCATACTGAGAATGCATACTGGGTAAAGGGAAAGAATTGCTTGACATGTGGAAGTGTTGATCATCGACTTCACAACTATTCGGAGAAGCAACAAAAAGGGTTGAATATACAGTAAAGGGATCAGATTACTTCTAAATCGAACCAAGAAAGAAGAAACAGATCCAGGGTATCCACTAGAGTATACTCTTTCGATCAACAACCTATTCCAAAATCATATGAAGGTCAGAATTTCGTTCTCGAAATTCTTTTAAGAGGGAGAGATTGTGAGACTTTGAAAAAAAATTTAAATTCTTTTCTCGTTTTGCATACATTAAATAATATTTTGACTTACTCTAGTTTAAATCTTTTAATTTCTAAGGTTATTTGTATGGTTGAGTTAAATTTTAATTGTTTGTTTTTATATTGTGGTGCGTGTTTCGTTATAGTGCATTTTGGTAGTGTGGCTCACTAGTAAGTGCGTATTAAATTTAGCGGACATGAATGGATATTATATATGAAGGAATATATGTTTAGAAATGTTAAGAGTGAGCTAGAGGAACACCACATAGATGAGTGATTAGAAACTAAGAAGAAAGATCAAGAGGTAAGTATTAGTCAAAGTAGTGTCACGTGTCGTGTTTTCATTTAATTTTGGAGCCCTTAAGTCTTCATCCATATCACTTCATTTGGAGTACAAAAACTCTTCATTCTTTCTTCTCTAAGCTGGCCGAACCTCAGGAGGAGTAAAACCAAGCTAGCT